CATGATGTTTACGGGTGGAAATTTCAGCAAAGGTGGAGCAATGCCGACAGTGAAAGAGTGGATGATCCTTGCAATGTAGACGAACCAGACCAAGCCTTGGATGACATTGATGTCGTCGAGATATCCACGAATTGTAGACCTCCTGTCAAAAGTGATCGATTTCTTGAGGCTACTAATAAATAAAAGACCAGTCACTATTCGTAAAAATCCGTTACGTTCATGTGGTATACAAGATATCTGGCTTAAAAAGGTTGGGTAACGATAGTACACACCGACATCACACTTTACGTTTCATACTTCATTGTTAGCTCAGGCCGAAGGACAAATTGTGTGCTTTACTTGTAAGCCTACAACCTTAACTCTCTCAAAAACATGTATTGCTTGCTTTGACCAAGACCCTTTTTTCGCAGTCACTCAAAAGGCTCTGTCATCTCCACATAGCAGTTCTTTCTCACCCTCAGTCTATTTCACAGAAAATGCAGCGCTGGCGCAAAATTTTGTTCACCACGACGTTTACAACACTGTCAAAAACCCTTGTTTCGCATCATTTCTCGTCGAAGCGCCATGAAATACACATACTTGATTAAGCTTGAATAGGCACAAGCCGTAACCCATTTGAGGCAAAAGCAAAAACTCATAGCAGACCATAGGACTCTAACAGCATCCGTTGCCAGCGCTGCCATTTTTCTCCGCTTTACCATCAAGTTTTCGCCCGCGACTGCGCGGCGCCGTATTAGACAGTAGTGCAGGGTTTTCGAGAATCTAGATCGCAGTAATGTAAGTAAGCATGAGATTACATTGATTTACATATTCGACAATGCCATCACCTTTTGCACAACTTCGTTAAACACTTGCTGAATACCAATTTTGGTCTTAGCACTGCTTTCAACAAACAGCATCCCTTTAGATCGCGCCCAGTCTTCTGCCTCCCGACGGGTCACCACTCGTTCCTACCAAAATTGCAATCAATCGACTCATTTTACATTCAATCACTGAAAATCTCGACCGCAAACCAAACCTTATCAATTTTGTTGCCAACAAGCAGTTTCACCACATCGCGACCACCAGCCGGACTGTACACTTCGACCTCTTGTAGCCACAGGTCTAAATTTTCAAAAGTGTCTCGCCGGGCAACGTCATATACTACAAAAGTAACAACATTAGATTTTCCACGAAACACCACATTCTAACTTGGCCTCACCCAAGACGATACCCTGAGCGCCTCTGTAATATGAACTGGTCAGAGTACGAAAGCGTTCTTGACCAGCAGTGTCCCATATGGTCATTTTGATCTTCTTGCCGTCCACTTGCATCATCTTGACCTTAAAATCCACACCTGACACCAATACAACAGTTACTTCAAGTCTAAAATATCTTTTAATCGATCTTACCAATTGTGCTTTGTAAATTGTCGTCGAATGTGTCGTCCGTAAATCGAAGTAGCATACTAAGCAACAAAAGGAAGTAAGAACTGACATTATCGCGTCAATACCAAAATTTGACGCACCTGCTCTTCCCGACTCCAGCATCTCCGATCAGCAAAAGCTTAAACAAGTGATCATAGCCGTCCATTTCGCCTAAGCAGACAGACAATAGATTTTTTTTAGAAATGAGCAAATGACCTACCTCCCTGTCGTGCTCCACACGAGGGAACATCAAACAGCATATTGATATTAAAATATTCGGACATTCATACCTAAATCGTTACTAGCTGATTCAATATGTCAGGCGACACGGCACAGGGAACGGAATTTGGGCGACAACGTTCTTCTTCGGATAGGCCCAGTCTCTATGTCGGATCAGACACAGCGTCGTGTTTATGGCCAATTAGATTCACCATCTCAAAATACTATTTTTGTTTGTTAGTACAATGACGGAAGCAAGGATACCACCAGCAGTTTACACTAAGACGGATTGGAAGGTGCCCGTTGAAATGCAATTTGATAATGGAAACGTAGTGATTGAAAGCTAAAAGTAGCACTTTGATCAGATTATCAATGGACTACCCACAGACTTTGCTGTCTCGATCTTTGCAGACCGCGTATTTATTGCCGTGACGCAGCTAGGCACCTTTGGCACTTTGGTATGCAATTGGTTTAGTTATTTTGTTTTTATACAAGGGGTTTAACGAGTATTGTGCTGTATCGTGTTCTATACGGTAGCTTGAAGCGTATCAGAAGGACACTATTAGTGGCAAATTACAATCGGATATCCACGTTCGTCTTGGGCGGCGCGACGATCCGCTACTTCTCGTCTATGCTCGCCAATTGCTGGAACACTTTGGGTATACTCAAATATATATTACTTGCAGATTACTAAGTAACTGACTGATACCTTATATTCATTTCTTAGTGTCCCTGTCGGTCTGCCCGTCTTGGTGGCTATCGGATTGAAAGATCGGTCGTCACAGACGTTTGAGGTTGTGATGAAGTGCGTTAAAGAGCTTTTCAGTCAGGCTCGCAATGCACAAGCCAAGCAGTAGTGCAGCAGATAAGAATGCGCAAGATATTTGAGCATGTCTGAACTTTGTGTACCCCAAAACCGAAGATTGATTCTGGTTCCAGTGCAATTCTGCGAGCAGCAATCCGCCAAGTGATCATCTAAGATTACAAAAGTACCTAGACAATAAATCTTAATCTACAAGGGCAGACTTTCTTGTGCACTCCATCACAGCCTCTTCGTTAACTTTTAATCCAGCGTTGAGGAACCAGCAGACAATGAATGAATACGATAAAGAAAATCGCCCACAGTTTAGAGGCCATGTTGAGAGAGCTTATTCTATCTGAATGTTCTTTTTCTCGCACATGTAAATGCGCTAAGTCTGCAGAATTCTGTCAGCAGTGACATCTAAAGAACATGATTGAAGTCTTGTAATCCGTAATACTTTGGTAAATAAGCAGTCGCACTGAGACAAAACTTGCATTGGCCGCGCATAAATCGAGTTCATGACCTGCACACCTTAAATGCAGAATCTTATTGTAGCATATTTTCAGCGTCTTATATCAATTGGCCAATAGAAGTCTCTCATGAATAAAAGTAAGTGCCGCTGGGAAATGACGTTTGAACTTGTCCATTTAAACATCGATACCAATTCTCAATTTGTCTCCACGCGAACGCATCATTTGACCAGCCACAACATTATTAAGAAGTTGCTTTAAAAATGTCCTCGACTTCTTCCGTTGAATCTGGTGCGCTGATTGACTTGTCGTATATGACTCGATTTGCTTAATTCAAAATCTTTGGTATTCTAGTTGACTCACCGACAAAGGCGGAATGTTTAGAGCTGTTTCGCGCACTGAAAAACAAAGATGAGCTATCACTTTCGTGCAAGGAAATCATGCAAATGATCACGGCGAATGATAAAGGTGTTATGGAGAACGAGCCGCTTAATACGCACGGAGGCAGCAGAAATCGCGGCGGTATTAGTCATGCAGCGCTGCAACGCCGTTTCACAGGCAAGATGTCCGGTGTCAGACTTTCGGGTTAAGATGTACAGAAGGTTGTAATTAAGTCCAGTCCAGTTAAGCGTAGCTTTCCTAACTTCTATGGAATGTATTTCTTTTGAATGTTATGTACTTGTTTGATTTCCAATATTATACTATTCTTCTTTAAGTTTTCGTGCAGCCACTCACTTGACTATTTTACTTTAAATGAAGCTGCTGCTTCAACGCATTGCGTCTGCGCATGCGCTACCACCAGGTTTTATTTCTGTAGCGACCTACAGATCGAAGCGTAGTCAAGCCAAGCGCGAGGCGATCCGTGTGTCTAAGGCATTTGCTGCCACTGACAAGTCGATCAAAACGCAGCATAAAGAAAAGCATAAGAAGCAGCGCCGGAACGATCGAGCTGAGGCACCGCAGCGCGTAGCTGAGCCACCGCGTCCGACACTGGATGAGCTTGAACAAGAATGGGCCAAGATGCGTATACGCACGAGTAGTATTAAACCCTCTGTATTGACAGAGCGAGCCCGCAGAGAGATTGCGTACAAAAGACGCATGCGACGTCTAGGTTTGCTACCAAGTGAGGATGAGGAAAACGACGACATTGGTAAGTCTAATTCAAACAATCGAAAAATTGTCAGCCGACGGCTGATATATGAGCGAAAGACGTCGTCTGGCTTACGTGCTACGAAAGTAGAGAAGGAGGCGAATGACGAAAGATATAGAAAAACGGGACGTCTTCCTGCAAGACGAGCGGTATCAATGAAGGACAAGGAATTTACTAACATTCAGCCAGCACCAGAAAACGTGGTAGAACGCGAATTTTTAATTCCGGACGAGCCTGCTCATCCCCAGGCGCTGGATGTAGCGGTGATTGGACGTCCGAATGCTGGCAAGTCATCCATAATGAATCGGTTATTAAATGTAACAGTATCGGCAGTATCACCCAAGTACAATACGACTCGCGATCGTGTTTTGGGCATTTTAACTGAGAACGATGCGCAAATTTCGTTTTACGATACACCTGGACTCATTAAACCGAAGGAAAGTCACGAATACGTCCGGACGTTGGTGACTACGGCAGCTGAGACTTTGCAAAGTGTAGATTTGTCGATGCTGGTTATAGATTCAGTCAAGCGGCTTGATGAGGCGGCTCTTCAAGCATTGGAAAAAGTGCTGACAACCTCGGCTCAGGTCTCATCGCCAACCATGCTCGTGATGAATAAGTACGACCTTGTAGGTCAGCGCGAACAAATGAATCTGAATTTTAAAGTACGGGAGGTATCCCAGATGATTGAGGAAATCTACGCCAAGCACTATAACGCCGACGAATCGTCTTTGCAGATCGATCCACTAGCTTATATCGGTGACAACTGTATCAAGGTATCGGCTTTAAAGGGTTACGGCATGGATTCGTTGAGAAAGACGCTGGTTTCGCTGGCTGTTGATCGTCCGTGGAGCTATCACTCATCTATGCATTCTGATATGTCGGATTTGGATCTTGTGACTGAAATTATTCGTGAGAAACTGTTTCGCCGATTTAACAAAGAGCTGCCTTATATTTTTGAGCAGGAAAATGTTGGCTGGACTAACTTCAAGGACAAAAGCATTCGAATCGATCAAGATATCTTTGTAAGCTGTCTATCGATCTGAAGATTTTGTAAACTGACTAAAATTATGTTGTTTATGATTATTGGTCAGGTTCCTGCTGCTCGCGTTCGTAAGATGGTAGTCGGACACAACGGAAACACAATTAGGTCTGTGGGCATGGCAGCTCGTGATGAGATCGAGCTGTTATTAAAGCGCCGTGTACACTTGTATCTGAATATTCGTGTTCGATAAATGTTCGCACCTCTTAATTTGTCGCACCCCTAAAACCGGAAATTCGTTGGTACTTGATTCATCCTAATGTCATCCCTTTGCAAGTTGGTCTGTCACAATGTGTTTAACATTAGACAAGGAACTTTGTTAGGTTAATAAAATTAGAAAGGCTAGCGTACCGTATGATGGTGTACGTACACTTTACTTTGGACGATAAACGAAGCATGTCGTGAGGCATATGCTACTGGCCTCATGCTGTGCAACAAATACGGTTTTGTTATCATCATTGTTAATGGAGTACACTAACCAGATGATAGAGCATTCCAGCTCATTTTTAATGCGTTGTGAAGTTCGGCATAAGACGGGAGACTGCACGCGGGAATGGTCACATACGTGCAGTATCGACATGCAAAGTGATGAAGTGATATGTGTTGCGGGTGCTCGCCCCGCCTGACCGACGTACCGTGTGCGCTCAAATTTTTGGTTACACTCCAAGAGCAAGCAACTTAAGCCCAAGATTTGCGAAATTATCGCCGCAAAGGCGGTAACTTAATAGAGGGATCGCATCCACTAAGCTGCTTTCGAGAAAGCGGCCGGAGGCAAAAGCGCTACGTGCGCACAAGAAGGTCTCAGCCTTGCTGAAGAGCAAGAGACTGGTCTGTTGGCTTTTGAGCAGCGTTGTAATACTCGCAGCTGTCACAGCTGCAGTTTTGTAACGGGATAAATGTACCCTGGTATGAAAGGGTGGATCACACAAGAAGGTGTGACCGTACAAAGGTGTGGATTCCACAAGTCGGTGTAATTACACAACTGTTTGGTTTTACCGTTACAAGAAGCCACTACGTGGCAGAACTACCAGTAGTTATGCCCATTAATTAGGGTTTACAATTTCATTAGAAAAACCTAAGGTTTTCTATATAGGCGGTTCTGCCGCAACTTAAACAATTCAATACAGCTCTCAATTTTGAACAGAAGGTTTTATTTGCCTTGGTTAAGGTTTTGGGTTCTCTTGGAGGTAGCGGATTGCGATCCGCTACACTCGAACTGTTTCTGGTTTAGAACGTAAAGTCGGTGACCTCGGCTTACTTCCTCTAAGCAAAGGGCTACGGCAGCCTCGCTACAAAACATCTGCACCCCGCATACTGATAGGGGGGAAGGTATAAGAGGTGGGGCTCTTCTGGACGGAAAACCGACAGAGCCATTGTAGGGAACTGACGGATTCTAGTTGGTGCAGGTTAGCCTTTTTTTATCTCACTACGAGCTATGCACACCTGCTAGATGTCTATGATATGCGACTACAAGCACTATATATCTACTTGTGACAAATTCAAAGTGTGCTTAGAAACAGGTGAAGAAAAGGTGATGACTGAAGTTGAATATGCTTCACATCTCAATCGAACACTTCCAATTGCCATTCATGGTGCTTGGACAGAAACCAAAAGAAGATAGCGCGCCGTCTTCAAAAATTATGCTGATTAAACCCACGATATGAGCCATATAGTCATTCTAAATACGCGAAGATTGGTGGCCGCAGAAATTATCCCGACATGCGGATCACTATATACGGAAACATGACCGATGGTTCATCACAACGGAGCTGCATTGAATTGTCCGTGTGGTCTTTCGCAAAAGCCATTACAGTAATACGACGTCATAAGATTCTGTCTTAAGCCTTGAGTGCGATCTTACATTGGTGTCTTTTTGATGCTTGAACAGCGGGATCAAGTTGCTTGTCTGGAAGCGCAAGAGTCATAGTGATCATAAATAAAGTTACTCAGAGCCAGAACACGTCGTGATCAGGAGCTCAATTGTCCAAATTCTACGTTTTATATCTCATTACGGCGCCGCCCTCGGAGATAAACCTGCGGCGCAGCCAAGAGCTAGCCCATGAGCTCTCTTTGAACGAATAGTTTTATTTTGCCGCTTACGACTAGGTTATCAGTAGTTGAGTCAATCAGTATCCAACACGATGGTTTTGCCTTCGGTACTGCGGCATGCTGATTTTTGTGAGAAGTATATGAATCAATTTGTGTGTCAAGCGATTATCCACCTAACCTGCTTTGCAGCTTTGCAAGCCGTTTTTTATGTATAAAAGTCAAATTATAACGTTGCTGGATGCTGGGCTTTATCAAAATACAAACGCGATGTCAAAGGCAAGACAAGCACTTTAAGTTTGTGCTGACAACAACTTCCTCTATACGTATAGGCCTTGATAGCATCTCAAACTCTTATTTCTATTGCTAGTAAGAAGTGCGTTGTACTACACAACCTTGAAGAGGTGATCAAAATCAGAAATTTTTCAAACCGACAGCGTCAAACGTCGCTAGGGTAATACTACCGGCACAAAGTGTTTAACACCCAAGAGGTCTCGAAAAGAGGACATCCCACCCATTTAAAAAACGTCGATATATGTTTTTGTCGGCCGCATACAGACTGAGCCATGATCCGCTTCGTGTTATAGTGAGCTTCATCGTACCCATTGAGCATCCGGCTGGGGATAATCTTATGTGAATGTCTCCCATAAGGTCTTGAATATAGAAGGCGCCTCCAGTATTTTCGAGAGCCTCAACATGTGTTCGACGCGGACGTCGGTTGTCCTTCTTAGACTCTCTTGAGGCTGCACGATTGGATCGAGTACACCAAGCGCCTCAAATGACGAATTGCTCCTAGATAATCAGTTATAACGGGTGGGTGAGCGTTTGCTTTGTCGCCGATTGTACGCCGGTCAGCTGGGCCGCTCATAGAAGCAGGAGTCTGATACGACTTGAGCGAGCGCACATAGACATAGGTATATCTGCATTCGCTTAAGAAATCATAAGTATCACTCGATCTAGTTTCTGCCGAAGTCGCAAAGAGCCCAAAGTAGTGAAGGGTGTACAGTTGTCGTGAACGGCTCCGGCATTTTCAGTTTGGTGAGGCCGAAGGTGCCAGGCATTTGATCGGGAAATATCTGTTCTCCCAGCACGAATGGCGCTTAATGGTCGCGCTGCACGTAGTACAATGTATGTTAATCAACAGCTGATTTAGACTTTTCAGAAAAGATTGGACCTGTAAAACTTAAAGCAGAACTCATTACTTAGTTACCTAAGAGGCTTTCGATTCCACTCCGCATTCCTTGGGTATTTGTTTACGTGGAATCGTTGAGTTAAAGGTTTATATGTATAAGATGCACGAGATCCTTGTTACACCTTCTATTCCTCTTCCCGGTAAAGCGTACAAATCCATCCACTGTGCGCTTACGCGCGGGGACTCGAATAATCAATACATTTTCTGTGCGAAGTGCTTGGGAATTCTGTTGAACTCGGCAGCACTTGCATAGAAACGAATGACCTACTTTATGAAATTTATGTGGAGCACGAATTCCTCGAGTAGTGCTGCTGGACTGAATATAGGTGGTACATATACCCTAGACAGTCATCGCTTCCACACTTCAGCAACGCTGGGCATGCTTAATCTCATAGGTACTGAGCGAGGTATTTTTTTTATTCACGCGGCTTCCTAACTTGACGACAGCTAGCACGACCTGCTCTTTGAAGCAAGATCTAATAGTTATCATGACTATCGTGTCCGGAGAGGTTTTCTTCGTCTCTCTTCCTGCAGCGGGGCTACCGTAGCTCTTTCGCTTAAAGGAAGCTCGATTTTAGTCGGTGACTCTCGTTCTAAAGAAACAGTTCGAGTATAGCGTATCGGAATTCTCTTACTCCAAGAGTAACATCGACCAAGTCTAGTGCACTGTACTTTGTACATCCAGCCATTTTGTTCTAGAGAACATCATTTCTAGGAATCGGCGTCAGTGCTGGAATGGTGGCAGCATTGAGCTTATTGTTAGTATGGACGACACGACACTTGCCGTTCGGCTTCCGGATATGGGGAGAGTTGCTCTCGAGCACTATTCCTGCGTCGTGCTTTGCACCGAAGAAGGCGTCTTGACGTCGCACTGCTCCTTGGGCAGGAACCATTGGCGTGTTACGCAGTATTTGGTTATCTGAACCAGGTCGATCTCATGACGCACACCTCGGTCCGGAGGTAGAATCGACGGCGAGTCTTTGGAGACGACGTCTTGAAATTCCTTTATCAAAGGATAGTACTGATCCGAGGGGTGCTTCAGGATCGACAATCCACTTCGTACGTTCAGTACCCTCTTGGTGTTCTCCAGGATAGCTTCATTTAGAAGCGACGACGAGTTTATCTCCTCGTTCGGTCGTATCATGACCGCCTCAGCGAAATCTCCTGCCTTCATGGCACTGCCAAACTCTTTGAAGGACATCTTGTCAGCTCAAGAAGAGCATCCACCGCGGGAATAGCTTTGAGGGTGACGCCGTCGTATTCCTCTCCCGTCATCCCGCTGACAAGGGTGTATAGCTGTGCACTATCGTCTACGATAGACATAACCTGAGTCAGGGTCGATGCCCTGCATCTTGAAGATAACATACGGCATCGACGTCTCCACCCTATAGAGGTTTTACGTCTCATCGAGACCAGTAGAAGCATACACTCGGCGTTGTCCAGTATTCCCACTTCCAACTCCATCGGATCCTGGATGTATAAACAACGTCCGACGAAGAGCTGCTATTTCTGCAGTCTTTGTCCAGGGATGACGTGCCACTTCACGCGCATCAGAAGGGCCTTGCCCAGGATGCCTAGGAGCTCGTTCGACCATGCCACTCTTGGCATGCAGCAACTGCTTCGAAACGTGAGCAAAGCTCAGTAGATTCCGAGCCACCTCACACGCATCACAGGGGTCTCGCCCTTGATGCCTTGAACCTTGGCCGACCATGCCACTCTTGGCATGCAGTGACTGCTCCAATACTTGAGCAGCGCTCAGTAGGTTACGTGCTACTCCTCATCCAGCCCTCAAGCCACGCTCCGGACTCTTGTCCGAAACACCTTTGGTGATTGACTACTCGGATACCCAATCTCAAGCACGTTGAGCGTAGAGAAGAGAAGAGAAGATCGTGGTCCAGCGCTCGCGCAATAGCTTTTTTTGCGTATTAGCAGAGGCGGTTTTATGACTCACCAAAGCTCCACCAGGAGACGTGCGCTTAGTGCCCAAGATCTTCGACCTGCATTCGATCAATGGCTCATGGTGTTCCAACCAGCCTTGCCTAGGATAAGGACATACCTTGCATCCAAGTCTAAGGCTAAGCAGCGTTCCCCGCTATTAAATTGTCACAAGAGCCCTCGGCAACGTGACACATGTCCCCGTCGATGAGCGAACAGTGACGATGTCACTCAACCGAGGCTTCAGCGCTTCAGCATACAGATGACCTCCTTCCATTGTAAAGCGTCGATCATAATTGCTCCGAAGTCGATTAGGATCTTCCATGTCTTCTCAAATCTCTTCACGGTCGCCTCCACGATCAGCAAGCCCGCCTTGCATACACGTTCCGTATTCAAGAGCACGAAGATCTTCTGGGCTGAGTCCTGCGATCTCTACCTCCTTGAGCTCAACAAAACTCAGTTCTTCCCCAGTAGAGTGCCCAGCGCCTACTAGGTGCTGTCGTTTCCTCGCGACAAACCAGGGAACTGGCAAGAAGCGAAACGTCTGTTCGATGAACCTTGACGTGCCTTGCACAGGGGACGACCAAGCCGAAGGCGACGGGTGTCTCCACAGACAAAACACCGTCGGGGGCTTCAACTCTGCTCAGCAGCTCGGAGATCTGCCTCCTCGTTCTCAGCATAGCTGAGATCCATCGACTCAGGCTCGCTCGAGTGTGCATTCCATCCAAGTCGTGTCGACTTAAAGTTGAATTCGGAATTTAATGCTACATTCACCGCTTATTCAAAGAAGACGGATGCACACGTAAGACTATAATGCTGACCACTCCAGTGCGGAGGCCCTTCATAAAGACAGTCACTGTGACCGCCGCGGGGAGAGGATCGATTGCCATTTCGGCGATGAATGTTCGCAACTCTTGGTCAAAGTCCACCAACTCCCTTTTGCCCTGTCGGGCGGCAAGAAAACGTTTCGCGCGCTATATGCCTGGTTAGTCATAAAGAACACTCGTGAAAGCTGAGGCCTCAGCTTCGTCCAGGAAGGAAACGCCGCTTCGACCGAAGTACCGCTCGTCAGTGCCCATTCTCGCGCTCGACCCCAGAGCTTGGAGATAGATAGCACCACTGGCTGTTGCTTGGTCTGGAGCATGGCGGACGCCACGGCCATCTCGACCTCTCTCACCCAAAGCAGGATATTCTCTCCATCCTTGCCCCCATGAGCGGATTGGGTCAAGGGGATTCATACACCACCGACGGTGGCGTCATGGACGCAGTCGACGCCGACGTCTCCTGTTCTTGGCGCTCTAGCAGAGCATTTTCATAGTTTGAGTACGCCCCAAGGCGCGCGCTGATCGCTTCAGGTCCTTGGAAAGCGAGGTATTGCACGCCTTCAGGGCCCAGCAGGAACATCAGCTTATTATGTTCGTCCTGCATGCCTTGGAGTATAGAGGAGTATTACTTCATGTTCAAAGAGGATCAATCGTAACGACTCAGGCGTAAATAGACTACAAGTGCTACCAAGTGCAGCGGGGCTGCCGTATATCATTGGTCAGAGAAAGCTAAGCGAG